TTCTTCCAATTCCTTTGGTTCCATATGAAATCGGTAAACATGATTTTTTTTCAAATATTAAAAATTCGTCAATGGATCAATGAAATCGATGATGAAATTCTTTTGAAAACTATTCATGAAAGTGTTTTCGTCTTTGAAGAATTAATTGAATTATTTCGTTGGTTATCATCTAATGAAATTCGAGAGAAAAATTTTATTAAAAAAATTCTTATGAAAATTCGTTTTCGTCAAACAATGAAAAGTGAAATGATTTCATTGGAAAATATTCAATATTTTGATCAATTTAATCTTCCATTTTTACCTTTACCAAACAATGTTTTACCATCATATTTTGTTTCATTTATTTCTCGAGAAGATTTACAAAGACGTTTGGATTTAATTGAAATTCCAATGAGAAAATTAATCGAATTTTATCTCAATGAAAAACAAAGAAAGTTCCTCCTTGAAGAAAATTCATCGAAAATTCTTCTTCATTTTATTTCCAAACATTTCCATGAATTCAATCCAAATGAAATCAATCAAATAGCCACAATTCTCTCATCAATTCCGTGTATTTGCACAACAAAAGGAATGAAATGTCCAAAAGAATCTTATATTCCATCAGAAAATTTATCATCAAATTTACCGATAATTCAATTAAATATTTTACAAATTTCCAAAGAAACAACTTCACATTCAGTTTCGCTTCATTTTCTCAAATCGATTGGTTGTCGAACTATTCATATTCCAACAACAAATGAACAATTCGATCAAACAAATCCAAGTTTCATTCACAATTTAATGGAACAACGAAAAAATCTCAGTGAAAACGATGTGAAAGCATTGAAAACAAGTCATTGTCTCATTGGTTTGTCTCTTCACCTTTCTTCTCACCGATTTTTCTTTTCTTTTTCTTTTCTCAGGATTGACATCTGATGAATCGAACAATGAAATGAAACGAAAATATGTTCCATGTGAATTATATTTCCCATCAGTTGGAAATCGACTTCAATGGAAAACTTTGCCAATTTTAGAATATTCGCCGGATCTTGTTTATCGTTCTACTGAATATTTATTTTTAAAAGAACTTGGAGTGAGAGAAGAACCTGATTTAACCGAATTACTTTCTCATATTCAACAAGAATATCGTCAATTGACAAATGATTTTCATTTAACAAATTCTTTAAAATTTTTCATTGAAAATTTTCAACTTTCTTATTCGAAAATATGGACAAATACCAAAATTACAATTGCTTTTCTTCCTTCGATCTCTCCTCTCCAACAATCATCCAAAGTCTTTTTATCAACACCTGAAAATGTCTTTAAAGAATTCGGTCCATTGTGTCCATCAATCGTTCCTGAAGTTTTGCAGTATTTTTCTCGTTATTTCGATATTGGATTAATTGGAGTGAAACTTCGTCCAACAATTTCATTGGCATTTCATATTTTAATGGACAAAAGAAATGAGTTGTTGAATGAACAAACAGCATCGAGTTATTTTTCATATTTCAATAAATTAGATGGATTAAATAAACAATTCATTGAGAATATTTCCAAAAAAGCATTTATTCCTTTACTAAACAATTATTTCAAAGTCAATGAAGTCTTTTTACGGCCAAGATCACTGAAAACTGATGAAAATCAATCGGAAGAAATGATTACACACGGTTTAATTGACTATGTCGATTATGGTGAAGAAAGTAATTCATTTTTAACATCAATTGGCGTGACATTTTATCCATCCGCAGAAAATCTCGCGAATTTATTAATTGATCGACAAAAAAGTTATTTTCAAGAGATCAATTCTGACATCATCCAAGGCAAATTACGTTTCTATACGAATTGTTTGAAACAATTAGCGGTGGTTTGTCATGTGGCACAAGAATTTCATCGTGACCCTTTGAAAAGTCGATTAAGAAATCAATGTTGGTGTTTAGGATATCAAGATGTGGACAAATCAGATGGAAAGAAAGAGAAAATCTTTCGAATTGTGAAACCAAATGAAATCTATCTCGATGATGATCATCAATGTGCAATTGATCTTCGACCTCTTTGTGCACCGGATGAACCGGAATTAACCAAATTATATGAACTCTTTGGAGCCAAATGGATTTCCGAATCTGTGCAAAGAAATTTAATTCATCGAGGTTCGAACTGAGAAAATCGTTTCGAGTGACTTTGAACAAATTTATATTTTTCTTTTAGGAAAAGTTTTTGTTACCGATAGAAGTAAAACATTAGAAGATTTAATCGCTTTTCGTTTGGATATGTTATTTGTCAATAATCGAGTAAAATTCATCTTTAACGAAAAGGTTTTTCGAAAATTCGTTCATTTAGGGAGAAAGAATTGAAAATCTCGATGAAAAACGAATTGAATTATTAAGAAATCATTTCAATGTTTACGAATCCGAAGGAATTCAATGTCAATTAACATTTCAAAACAAAACCATTTCACTCAATGTGAGTTTTTCCTTTTTTCAACATTTCTCTTTCAAACATTGTGTTTGTTTTTTCCATTGAAGTCCAGTGAATGTAGTTCATGTGCATTGGAATATGAAAAACAACACGTTTATTTGTTTATTCAAAAGGATCTTCTTCATTTGGATTATATTGATATTTCAAGTGAATTAACTCGATTTGTTTATAAAAAGCCAATTGATTCGTTGGTTCATTCCATCAGTGATAAACTTTCATCACCTTTGGAAACACTTAAACGAAGAGGAATTCCCGTCGATCGATTATTGAAGATTCGTCAACAGCAACAATGTAACATTTTTCAAAGAAAAATTCCGTTTTTCTTTATTCATTTTTTCCTTTTAAGCGATTCAAATTTCTTTACCAATTGCACCAATTAAACGAGAAGTAAATCAGCAGAAATCCGTTGAAGAGAAACTTTCACAAATACAAAAACAATCGGAATCATCTGAAGAACATCAACAACAACAACAAACCAATCGAAGACAATCTCAACAAGAATTTCTTCCACAACAAACAACAAGAGGATTTCTTCAAAATTTGAAAAGGTAAAAAAGAAACAGTTGTTGTTGTTGATTGTCACAAGTTTTGTTCAGTTATTTAAATCCAAATGCGATTCCTTCACCAACAAATTCTTCCAATGAAAATCTTTCGAGTGAAATCGAAAGAAATCGAATAAAACATTTTGGTGAATGTAAAACTGATGATGAAAATGATATTCAAAGAATGATTCAATCCAGTCGATCTTATTCAGAAAATACTTTTAATCAAGTTGAACATTCCAGAAATGAAATTAATAATTCGTGTGAATTTATTCCTTCATCAAATATGATTCGATTTTCCAAATTATTTTCTGGAATTCCATTGTATTTCGATCAGAATATTCAATTGACTCAATTAATGATCGAACAAAGTCGATATTTCGCTTTTCTTCTCTCTTCGTTGGTGAAGAAAGTCTTTGCAATTCCAATTGAAACAGTTCATCTCTTTCGTGATATTGAAAGTGGTAAACAAGTCGAAGTGAACATCGATTCTTTTCATCTGTTTTCTTTGTTTTTCTTTTAGCTCGCATTGCATTTAATAGTAATGGTTCATTATTTTATAATCTTCGGTATTTTGAACAAGTTTATTGGGATGATTTGAAACCATTTCTCAACGGAAATTGTTCATCATCAATTGAAATTGTTCGTCGTTTAATTAATTTTTATTATATGGTCACTTGTCATGAATTATCTCATAATATTGATTCAAATCATGATTTAAATTTTATTAATCGTCTTGAAAGAGTTTCAGCAAGATTTATGGATCAAAGAGATTCATTTATATCAACATTTGCTTTTCAATAACTTTTGTCAAATATTTTATTTTGATTGTTTTTTTGCAAAGAAATTAAACTTTAATTTATTCGAGAACATATCCCATGTGTTCGATTTCAGTCATGAACAAAACGAGATATTGAGGGATGATTTTTCTATGCTCTTACAACGAATCATTGAATTTAAATATCAACATTGTTCAGTTGAAGAAAGTTAAAAATGAAATTTATTTCTACGGTCAAAATCTTCCGTTCTTTTTCGAAACTGAAATGGCTTTTTATAAAATTTTCTCATTACTTTTCTTCGTAATAACAAATCCTTGTATCGAAAAAAACTTTACATATATTACTATTAACTTCATTTGTGGTACAGTTCTTTCTCTTTTATTCAATCAAGTAAATATATGAGAAAGAACGAAAATCAATGTTGTAAAAAATTTTTGAAAAAGTCATTTTCGCAACTTTGTTCCGAAGATCCATGAAGACGAAGCCAAAGAAACTTTTTCTCAAATAATACAAATATTCATCATAGTCATATGATATTAACATCGCAATTTTGTAAAGTATTTTTGTTTGAAAGAAATAATTAAAAATCAAACGAAAATATTTTTGATTTAATAAAAATTTCAAAATTGAAATCATTCGAGCTAAACATTCAATACCCCAAAATCCTCCTCGATCATGTCGAAAAAGATATTCAATTGTTGGAAGATATTCTTCATAAATAACTTGACCATCTTGATGATTTGCTACTTTTTTCTCATGAAAAATAATTTTCTTTATAAATTGAACTTTTCGTTGGAATCGATCGCACACATCCACCGGACATCGCAATGATTCCATTGTAATTGTCATTTCCATTAGAAAAATAAATTCCATCAAGAATTTGATTATCACCAATCCATGTTGAATGACTTCTCAAATCGAATGTGTTCTGAATTGATTCTAAGAATGTTGATGTTTTTGAATAATAAATATATTTCAAATGAATCCATTGTGTTGCTTCGATTAATTGAACACGAGCAGATGCAACCAATGCTATTGTTCCATTCGAACCTGGAATACCATTCCATAAACGAATATTTTCATTCGAATTGATTATTTGACCATTTCCAGTTATTTAGCGTTGCATGAAGAACTGTTTTATCAAAAGTACCATAAATAAATGATGAACTTTCAATCGCAATTCCTTGAATAGCACCACCAAGTGTTATCGATTTAAATTCAGGAATAACACAAGGCAGCAAATTGTATTTCAGTGTTTCATTACACAATTCTTCAAATGTGACCAATGATTCAACATCAACATATTTGTCTTTTTTATATTCAGTTGATCTTGATGAATGTCCTTTACCTAATTGACGATCTACAACGATTTCGATATATGAATTCTTCTTTGTTATATTGGTGAGTGTTGTTCTGATCTCATTTATATCGATAATATCAGAAAGAGTATTGAGATATTCATCCAACAACGTTTTATTATAATACAAATTCAAAAAGAATTTCAATCAGAACTCAATTTTCTCCTGTTGATCTTTTTGCTTTTCTTCACATTGAATTAAATTATTGTAATAATAATTAAAAGCAGTTGATTGTTGTAGTAGTACACATTTATTCCACAATCGAGACGCACCAGTTAACAATCCAGTAAATTCCCATTCATCATTATCTTTTGGAAGAAAACACAAACCTCCACTGAAACCATAAGTTGCTGGAGTATCAATGTAAAGAATGTGTTGGTCACTGAGTCGTAAGGTACCAGTACAATTCATAAATCGATACATTGGTAGTAAATGTTCAGGTCTCTTCCCATTTGCTGATTTCATAGTTATTAATGGTAAATATGATGAAAAGTGAGGATCAATAATGAAGTCGAATGTCTCGGGAGAACGAGCAACAAATCCAATAACATTGACTGGTGTTAATGCAGATATTGGTAATGTATGGTCCAGTTTTGGTCTACACACTTCAAAATAAGCAAAGAGATTTTCCGGGACATTCGAACATTGGAGAATACCTAAATAAATAAACATGAAAAGATAGTTTGTATTGTATTGCATAGAAGAATAATTAGTTTTCGAAATCTCTTGAACGTCTCATTTAAGATCAAACATAGAGGTCAGCATTAGAATATATTCCAAAGTCCTAGACCACTTTCTATTTCAATTTATAAATATTTCCTATATTTTCTTTTTAACAAACCTATGTCGTCCCACCAATTTGTTGAAAAGACGAAAGCGGACGATTTGACTTGACAATGCATTTCCAATACTTCATTTTTGAGATGATCCATATCATTGAATAGAATGTTCAATCGATAATACGAATGGAATAAGAAAGGATACACGAATAGTCCGAAGCAGTAGACAATACCAGAGCATACCGAACAATAAACAATTAAAAATAAGAGCATTTTCTTGAGATGTTGTGGATTGGTTTTTCGTATGTATATCATCGTCGGTAGAATGATGAAAACAGTCGTTGTCAAATAAAAACCAATGAATGATTTAAAAGTGAATGCCACTTGTGGTACAACCACATGAAAAGCTGTCAAGACAGTTATGATACGATTATCATTGCAAAACGATTTCTGAATGACAACGCCACTACCTATAATTTTCTCTGAAACACCAGAAGTCAATAATTTTGATGAATATTCATGATTAATTCGCACGATACATCGTGATTTTGGTGATGTGTTCTTGACTTTTGAACAAGAGCCAATAATTTTATAGACGTTGCCAAATTCTTCGACGAAATATCTATAGTCCGCCGGTGGTTTTGGCAAACGATCAAAATTATTCCTTGCTTGACTTTGAATTTGGCACCAAAATAAGATGAGAATTGTGATACACACCATTGACATTTTGATCGCAGAATACAATGACTCAGAGCGAATCACAGACTGCATCAATTGTTTCTTTGTCCACAGAAGAATTCTCAATACGTATAGCTTTAATCCAATAAAAACAAAGGAATATACAATTCATGAAAAGGTGAAAATCATATAAATACAGTTCTGATTTGTGACCAAATAATTAGTACATATTGAATTTCAATATTCTTTAATGAAAAACTATCTTCTGATTTTTCGTTCAGATGGCGCCACGTGACACATCGTTCTAAATAATCCATAATGGGAGTTCAAACTGATGAGGTTATAACTCTAGTTATAAGTATTTCAATTTTGTTCGAATTTTGTTAACTTTTAACTTTTCGAAAATTAGTTTTAACTCCCACTATGAAATAATCAGAGCTGATTTATACCTGCAACGAGAGCAACGGTCCTTCTAAATTGAAGATTTCTCTCTATTTGTGTAAAATGAAAAATTGATAATAAGCTATGAACGGCTTAAAAAGAAATCGCTATTACGTATACAATAATATAATTATCGACATCTCTATGCGTTTTCAGGGTGGTAATACTAAAAAATATATAAACATAATCCATCGATAAGGCATATATCAGCTTTGAAAGTTGAAGTTTTCACATATGTCAAATAGTCTTTGCTTATTCTTCTCTTTTCGATTATTAGAGAGATATTCTTCTATTATGATGTTCTAGACGTAGGGTATCTTAAACTAGGATTCGAGTTTTTCTTGAATGGATTCGCCTGAAGCTTAGACCAACGTTAGACCAAGATGCAGCTCGAGGAGCTCTATCGAATGAACACCTTTTTGGTTATATCGAAAGAAATTCGTTTAGCATCTAGAAAACTTCTTTGATCTTGTCAACATATTCAACGATCAATGATCAAACACATTTACAAAATAATTAACTTTTTCTTTTCTCCAATCTTCCAAATGCATTCCAACTATAGATATTCCTATAGAGAATAAAAATGTTTACCGAAAAAGAAATAAAGAATATTTGAATGAGTTACAGTTGCAGTTTCTGGTTGTGATACACCAGAATTTCGAAATAAATTCTCATCTGTTCATACACTTTTTTTGAGAGAGATGAATAGATTTTGTACTGAAAAAAAAACTAGAAAAAAGAAAACGGAGATTCAGAAGGAACATCTAGAAATATCGATGATAGAATGTTCAAT